GGGGGCCGACGCCAGCACGGGGGATGCATGCCACCGCAGGCTCCTCGGCACAGCCACCTCCCGTGGACGGGGACGCCCACATCCCGGCAATCCGGCTGCAGCTCCCGGTGCTGCTTGCACCGTTGCCTTTGGCTTCACCGGTTCGCCGGGCTGGGTGGCACTGGTGGCACTGGGGAGCTGCCAGCTGCTCCTTCGCCGGCTCGCCGGGGCGCAGCGAGACGGGGAGGGGACATGGCCGTGGGGACCCAGCACGGCGCAGGGCGCAGCGAGACGGGGAGGGGACATGGCCGTGGGGACCCGACTCACCTCTCTTGAAGGACTTCAGCGCCCGCTGGCTGGTGCCCAGGGCTGCCCGCAGGCGCTGCCGGGCCCCCTGCCCCGTCTCCTGCTGCGGTTCCCCCTGCCCCGTCTCCAGCTGCAGCCAGACAAGCCCCTGCTCAGCCCTGGGCTCAGCCGGGGGGTGCCCGCTGTGCCCAGCCCACCCCCACACACACACCCCCCCCAGGACATCAGGGAGACGGCGAGGGGCTGCAGAGGGGAGTCTATCCTCCCAAAAAACCTGCCCTGAGCTTGGCAAGGAGCTACAAGGATGAGCAGGAGCCGGGGAAGGAGGGGAATAAGGAGGGTGATGAAGAGGACGCTGCCCCAGCGGGGGTCCTGCTCGGCCAGGGCGTCCCAGTGGGGGTCCCAGGAGGTACCTGGTCCTGCAGGTCCTGGTTCTGCCTCTGCAGCTCCTGGACCTGGATGGTGAGATCCTTCTGCTGCGCCAGCAGCCAGGAGATCTTCTCCTGCAGATCTGGGAGCAAAGGGGGGAGCGAGGGGTGAGAAAGGGGGGGAGCGAGGGGTGGGAAAGAGGAGCGCAGCCCTCCCAGAGCCGGTCCCCGAGACCAGGCTGGTGGTGCTACAGCAACCCCCTCCCCAGCTCACCCCCGTCCTGCCCGTGTCACCAGTGACCCTGTTGGAAGCTGGTTCTGGGAGGTGACCCAGAGGGACAGACACGTGGCAATGGGGTGGAATAGCCACCCACAGGACGCCAGGGGCCGTACTCGGCACCCTTCTCCCTGCCCAAAGCTGCCCCCAAGCATCCCCCAAGGGTCAGCCCACGGGCAAAGTCACAACATCACCTGAACGTGAGGGGTTTGGCTGGAGTGGGGCATCCCCCCGAGGGGTGCATCCCCCCTGAGGGGTGCATCCCCCCTGAGGGGTGCATCCTCCCCCAGAATTGCATCTCCCTGAGCAGTGCATCCCCCAAAGGGGTCCGTCCCTCCGAGGGGTGAATCCCCCCGAGCAGTGCATCCCCCTCCACGGGTGCATCCCCCCCCTCGCCCCCGGTACTGACAGGCAGGTGGAGCATCAGGCTGCAAACGCAGCCGAAATTGCCAAGATGGGAAAACAGGATGGGAAAGGAGGAAGCGTGACCAGCAGCACTTTCATTTCGCCTTTTTCGTTTGATTTCAGTTTCACTTTCTCCTTGTTTACCCAGAACAAGGCCCAGGCACAACCTAAAACCATGGGGCCAGGCTGAGCCGGGCTTAGGGGACACCGGGACGGGGCAGCCAGGCAGGGGCCGGTGCTTTGCCTTTGGCTTCACCGTTTCTGGCTGGGGCTTAGCCAGGAGCCCCCTGCCCGGCTCACCCTCGAGCTGCTGCCCGTAGTGCTGGGCAGGGTCGGGGTCCTCCTCGGGGGGCTCCTCCTCGGGCAGGGCTGGGGGGGCCGTCGAGGCCAGGCTGAGCCGCTTCAGTTGCTTGTTCTCCTGCTTCACCTGAGGTGGGATGGAGACACCCCCCAGCATCGGGGTTTCTAATGCACCACCGAGCCGGGCGTACCGGGGGATCGTGCGCCGGCACCCTTGCACCCGCAGTGAGGGGCCGGGGGCA